TTGCTAACAAACTAAATGGGTAGAACTACGTCTATATAATTTCATTGCCTGTGATCACACTGCTGCCTATCTTTCTCACTGTATTTACTGACATTAGTGTGGGAGAGCCATACTTTGGCACGAATGGGTCGGCTCGATAGGAGGGCTTCAAAAAAAAAAACCAACGTGAAACAAAACAACGGTTGCGTTGTGTTAACTACCAACTACCCCCCCTCCCTAATCTCTCTAATCCCTGAATCCCCAACAATCCTCAAACTCCTAATCCCCAAAAGGCCTCTGGTGTTCCAGGTATCCATGGGCGACGTCGATTGCTTACCATCAGGTGATCCGTCTGCTTGTTTACCGGCTTATGCCATAGAAAAAATCTCCGAAGTTAATCATGCACTCAGACACTTAATATGCAAAACAGCGTCAATGATGACACAACGATGTCGTCACACTCACATACTTCAATCTTCAATGACCTTGCGTCTGACATAGCTATAAATACGTATATACAATGTTTATTTATAATCATGTAAAATGTATATAGTGAGTCAGTTTATTTTAAACTTAACTCAATGAGAAGGAAAGATTTGGTCGTTTGTTTGTGTTGAATATGTTCCGAAACTACTGGACCAATTTGGAAAATTCTTTCACGATTTAAAAATTTAGTTTTTAGGAAGTGATTGTAACTCGTCTTGTGTTGCTAGTGTCCATGGGCGGCACTGATAACTTGCCATCAGGTGATCCATCTGCTTGTTTGTCTCCTTTTTTTTAAAAGGTAACATCATCGAATGACAGCTCAGCCTGGGGAGGCGGGTCAGACTCTTACTGACTAAAAACCACCCCGTTCCTTCTCCTGCACGTCCCGGTAACCCGTTAGGTTCTCCGCGACTTCGAATCCGCATCAGCCCTGTCGGGTGGTCTGTTGGCTCTTTGAGGCGCGTGCGGAACGCGACGCGCCGTACGATCGTGTCTGTTTCTGGTCGGACGGGGAGCCCACCCATGCTCGCCGTCCGCAGGCCTGCGCTCGTTTGCCTCCTATTCCATAAAAAAAGTTACGTAGGCTACTTTTTATCCCGCTAGTCGTATAGAATCGCTACCTAATCCAAATAATCTTTATAAATTCCAGCGAGTAAAACCATTAGCTTAAAGCTATAGTATAATTTTGATTATAGTATGGTTTTATATGAATGGTAAACTGAGTATTTGTGATAAGTGAACTTCCTACCATGAAACATCCTGTGAATCATGGCTGTCCACTGATGGATTATGTGGCTCCTCTACATAAGTTGGTTTGTCCTACTCTCCACGCTGTAAGTGGAGAGCACAGTTTAATAGTGAAACAAGTGAATTTATTTCTGCAAATAGGCTACAAGGCAGCACTTTTACACGTCAATTTTATCAAGCGAACGATGAGGCCCACATTTCCTAACTGACTACTCTGAGAAGAAATGCCGAAACAAACTCAGAGAATAAATAAGTTCAGGTATATAAGAGAATGCTGCGGCCAGGTCTTTGTCAAACGTGTAGTCTCTTAGTTGAGTCTTACGACACTCACGGGAACAGCAGAGATGGTGACAAATGTGGTCTATTCTCTTCTTAACTACTATAAGATATATTTAATCACTTTAATCTCATATTCTCTTTACACGGCCATTTAATATTAAACCGTAATATAAAATAGTTTTAAGTGTGGGAGAGCCATGCTTCGGCTCGAATGGGCCGGCTCGACCGGAGTGGATCCCCGCTTCACAGAAAATCGACGTGATATAACGCTTGCAATGTGTTTCGTCGTGTGAGTGAAGTTACCGTAGGCCCAATTACCACCCCCCCATCTCACCAATCTCCGAATCCCCAAAAGGCCGGTAACGCTCTTGTAACGCCTCTGGTGTTTCGGGTGTCCATGGGCGACGCCGATTACTTACTATTGGGTGATCTGTCTGCTCGCTTACCGGCTCACCACCACCACCAGGCCAGATAGTGGTCAAACGTCGGCTTTGAATTTTTGCAGACGTAAAGTTAGAAGTTTGGATTAAATAATAGGGTACTTTTTATCCCAGAATTTGATATTCTCAAGGGAAAACGAAATTATTGGTATAGATGGCGCTGTGTGTATTGGTATATGTCACATAGGCTATCTTATCTTATCCTTTTGTGACGCGAGCGAAGCCGCCGGGAAAAGCTAGTCAAATATATATATAAAAAAAATATTTCTTAAAAAATAGTCAAAACTTTAATTACTATTTACCATTGGCCTACATACATAAGCCTTAACAAATATAAATGATAGAATAGTACCTTCCATATACAGGACAGCACCATTTCATTGTCCATTGTGTCACTTTTAAGGGGCACCTGAATTGATTCTAAATTGTACACGAAGCGAATCGATTTGATTTTGTAATCGATTTGTTAATCGCGCATCCGTTTCGAGTTCTGACAGTATGCGAATTGTGTTGCGTAAAATGCTTCCAAAGGTTTTATTGTTTTTCTTATATATAATGTAAATCAACATAAGTTGTGAAAAATTGTGAAAAGTTGCTGTGCCCGTCAGGGTCCACAATGATCTGTATTATCTATATATATAAAAGAAAGTCGTGTTAGTTACACTATTTATAACTCAAGAACGGCTAAATCGATTTGGATGAAAATTGGTCAGGATGTAGCTTAGAACCAGGAGACGGACATAGGATACTTTTTACCCAATACTTATTTTTTACTTTTAACCGAAAATCAAGAACGGGTACGGGAAATATCGGGATTGCGCGTACGAAGTCGCGGGCAGAAGCTAGTTCTATATATCCATCTAAATCAAACATTGTGGGTGCAATAAAGTATCTGTGTTTGTATTTGTAAAACATAACACATAACAAAACATCACGCCTTTTATCCTCAAAGGGATAGGCAGAGGTGCACGTTATACCACTGTACAATGTAACACCCACTTTTCACTATTTACGTTATGAGTACCATGTAATAGGGGGAGCCTATTATCATATATCGGGCAAAATTCCAGACTTCGTGCTACTACTGGGAATATTTCAAAACCCAGTAATATTTTGCCCGACCCGGGAATCGAACCCGAGACCCCTTGCACGGCAGTCGATTGTATTTGTAAAAGTGGGTGTTATATTGCATTGTGCACTTCTGTCTATTCTGTAGGGGGTTCAAAGGCCTGATTTTATGAGAATTTAGCAGTCTGTGGTAATCGTGTCGTGGCTTTATTGTTTAATAGCTACTTCCGCGCGGTTTCACACGCTCTGCTCAGCTCCTATTGGTCGTAGCGTGATGTTTTATAGCCTATAGCCATCCTCGATAAATGCGCTATCCAACACCTAAAGAATTATTCAAATCAGACTTGTAGTTACGGAGATTAGCGCGTTCAAACAAATAAACAAACAAAAAAACAGACTCTTCCGCTTAATATAATAGTATAAGATTTCTTGATAGTTTGTGGTAAATATTGGCAGGCATTATTAGTTCTAAATTAATTATTATGTTTTCGGCTCACTCACGTAACTGTTTGACGAGAAAATCGACTAGTTTCAAACCATGCTAGAGGCTCATATTCATGAGCAGCATTCAGCGGCCCGCGACGCGGCGACTGTCGTTGTCGAAAGTTATAATATAAACATTATTACTTCTATTACATTTTATTGTGTAGGTACAAAAATTAACTCATTAACTAAGAATGTCTGTGTATTTGTTTTGCACGTTTGTCTTCTGTCCTAGTGTATATTAATACAATGGCATAGAATATTTTTGTTACTTTAATATGGATAAGGATCCTGCCCATCACAAATATGTATTGAATAACACACAAAGCTACAAATCATGTTAAATAAAAAAAAAATCTTTGACTGCCGACAGAAAAGTATTGAGGGCAAATAAAATTGTTGTCAATTGTTAAATAAAATCGTTGCTGACCTCTTGCACCTACCATTTACTCTTCTCTGCATCACTCAAAGTTCAGACTGGTAGAAAATGCCTGCGGCATTAAGTCCACCTATTTATACATTTTGTGATTGAAAGAAGCATTAAAAAAATCATATTAGTTCTTAAAAAGTTCATCTCTCCAAATATTGTACGTATAATCAAGTAATATCAAGTTGTGACTTTTACTAACCACATTTTATCACCTTGTCTACAGCTGGACACATGGTTCGGACGGCCGAAGAAGGGCGGGAGCCAGATCGACCGGGGCTACGACACCGTCCCCCGGGGCGCGGAGCCGAGGGCCGAGGACGATGAACCGTCCGCCACCGCCGAGTACACTAGCAAGATAGACGCGTTGGATGATGCACAGCTACATAGGAGGTTTGAGGAGATGCTGGTAAGTTTGCTACAGAAAAACCGTCCTTCTTTTCATGCCAGTAAGGTTGCAATTATCAGAGAGTGCTGCTGCCTAGTCTTTGTCGAATGAGTAGTCCCTTAGTTAATTATCTTACGACGTCCATGGGCGTGGTGTTACCAATTAATAATTTCGCTGCCGGCGCTAAAAGGTTCTCGAATGGAGACCAAGTGCTTGCAAGCGCAGCGCATGATGTCCACTCCCAAGATCCCAAGATAGGTGACCTGATAAAGGTTGCAACAAGCCCAAATCTCTAGGCAAAACCAGCAAGCACTTAATGTTTTTTTTGGGATAAGCCCGCTACAATCCCCCAAAACCGGCTCGACTGGAGTGATACCACGGCCTAACAGATAACCGACGTGAAGCAACGCTTTCGTTGTGTTTCGTCGTGTGAATGAGGTTACTGGAGGCCCAATTACCCTCCCCTTCCCCAGTCTCCACTATCCCTGAATCCCCAACGATCCTCAAACTACTAATCCCCAAAAGGCCGGTAACGCCTCTGGTGTTCCAGGTGTCCATGGGCGACGCCGATTGCTTACCATCAGGTGATCCGTCTGCTCGTTTACCGGCTTATGCCATAAAAAATAACCGCTGCATCTCCTGTAAGGCAGGATCTACAGTAGATACAGCTTTAAAAACACCGGAACACAGAAGTCCGGCGCGTCCCAGGGACATTAATAACTGCGCACTAGCAACTCCTGTTTTGTTGCTGGTAAATATAATAAGCGGCTCTGGTGCCTTACCATCAGATGATCCGTCTGCTCGTTTGGCTCCTTATCCCATCTTGTCTTGATTTAAATTTCTATGGATGCATTGAACAAAGTCTTCATTTGATTCTAGACTTATTGTATCTGTAATTTATAAATTGCTTCTTTGAATTACAGGCGGACATGAATCTCAATGAAGAAAAGAAGGAGCCTTTGAGAAAATACCCTCGAGATCAGAAGAAGAAGATGTTAGTCGCTTATAAGTTCGTCAACACACAGGTTAGTATCCAGACCTTTCACAGTTCACATGTAAACATCTGCTCATGTAGTGTAGATGTCCAGCCAACAACGATGTAGCGAGGTTGACTGTCCAGGCGATACACGTACTTAGGTATCGACATGAGCTAATGTCGCGGAGAACCTAACGGGTAACCGGGGCTCCGGCTCGACGTGCAGGAGAAGGAACGGGGTGGTTTTTAGTCAGTAAGAGTCTGACACTCCCTCCCGCCTCACCCAGGCGGGAGCAGTCATTCGATGATTTTCTCCCCTTAAAAAAAAATGTTCATATGTAAACAGCAGCTCATGTAGTGTAGATGTCCAGTCAACAAGGATGTAGCGAGGTTGACTGTCCAGGTGACACACGTACTTAGGTATCGTCTAAGCTAATGTTCACATGTAAACTGCAGCTCATGTAGTGTAGATGTCCAGTCAACAAGGGTGTAGCGAGGTTGACTGTCCAGGCGACACACGTACTTAGGCATCGTCATAAGCTAATGTTCACATGTAAACACCAGCTCATGTAGTGTAGATGTCCAGCCAACAAGAATGTAGCGAGGTTGACTGTCCAGGCGACACACGTACTTAGA